ATGAAGATCAGAATGACACAAGACTCTTACAAAATACAAATCATTTAATTGTTTTATAACTTATGTTTTCTAACATATGAGGGCTAAAACTCATTTTGGGTCTTATAATTATTATTATTCTGGTTAAAATCTATTACGAAATATTTTGACATCAATTAATTATAAACATCTTACTAAAACTCATTTAATTGTTTTAACTTTTTCTTTAATTTGTTGTATTTACGTTATCAATAATTTATATGGTTAATTATTTTTTCATATGTTGTATAGTCAATCAATTTATTCAATAATAAAAAATTGGATCCCCAATATCGAAAAATTTAGGAGCGGTTTTGAAATATCAAAAACCGATATAACATGTTTCAGAATCGGTTCTAATATTCTAGGGTCGTAGGTTCCCGATTTTGATAGACCTATGTATAAAAAATGACCAAAAACCATAGATAAAATTATAAATTTCAACATATTTTAACCATGTATTTGTTTATTGTGCAACGTGCGGGAATACGCCTTGTGTGTTTGTGTGTGTGTATATATATATATATATATATATATATATTGAAATTAAAAGGATTGTGGATGAGTTTGCCACTAGTTTTGGGATTTGGATGGGTATAGGTGTACACATCTTCGAAATTATGTTAAATTATCAAACACAATAGTGATTTGTGGAGTGTGGACTGTGGGAAATATTTTAGAATCAATTTTACCTTTGGATGTCGCTTATTGGGCCTTATTTGCTTTTCTTATGTTTCCCATCAATCACAATTCACACGAAAAGTTAAAAGTTTGTCAAAATTTGGAAGTGGCGTACATGGATCTGTAAAATCGAATATGAATTTTTCTTTTATAACAATACTTATAGGTGTACTAAAGTTGAATTCGATCCTATCTTAATCAAAGACGGTTCGTTGATTTTAAAAACCCTTTACGAACAATAAAAATTGGCTCATAAAATTTTGGATTCACAGCAGATTATCAAATGATAGACGGATTAACAACGTTTAGCGGCGAATTGGGGCCGAATTTGTGACGGATTAGTTGACAAATTACAATTTCCAGGCCATTCGCATTACGAGGGTTGTGTGGTCGCAAACACGACACCTCCTCAGGGTCAGCCCTATCTGATCTATACCTTGTTTTTTTTATATTTAGAATCGGATAAAACCCTATAAGGTGAAAACAGTCGTTATTTGTGTTATCCGATATATATATATATATATATATATATATATATATATATATAATAATTGCGATTTCTGAGTTATTATTATCTATATATAAATATCTATGTTGATATAGTTTTTTCTCTATATAAATGTGATTATTTTAAGTCAACTATTGTTATTTGTGTTATTCACATATAAATCAACTGTATATCTGATTTTCATTAATTATATAAATGTTTATTTGAGTTGTTTAGCAGGCCTTCTTCTTTTCGCTCCTTTGATATCAATTATGCATTATGCTTTATATAGATGCGATATTAACATACAGTTATGCCAAACATAACAACGTTTCTTCCTTGTAAGATTTGGGTGTTGCCCATTACCAAGATGTGCTACTAGAAAATCGAACTCAAGCCTTCTTGGCTACAAATTTTACCCCTAATTAAGAGGCTTTGTTATATGGAATATTTAGGTTGAAAACTTGAAATGATTCAATATAAATGAGACTGAAGAATAAAAAAATGGTTTTATATTATAGGCAATTTTTGGTTGCAAAAGAAACTTGATGATCATGTTGAAGGGTAATAAATAAACTGGCTAAAGAGTGGACCAACCCATGTTCTTTGGAGTGCGAATGTCAAAGGGTCACAGTCTATGGTGCCCAATACAGCTCAACCAACAAAGGCATCGTTAGCAAATAAGTTAGGAGTGTAACACATTTTCATATAAGAAATTAATTTAGGTGCTTAAATGAAATCCCAACAAAAATTGAGAAATACAGTCAAATCCCAATAAATTGTCTCATTGACGGGTTTTTTATATGTTATCTACTGATGAGCAATTTAGAGGTTACTTTATGCCATGTTTTTTTTTTATATATAAAAAATTGGTAAAGTAAGAATTTATATAAATAATCTAATATATAGATCATGTTTGCTACATAGAATCCATTTCAACTTGGTGGGTCCATCTGGGTTCACATTTTGTATTTTACTACACACTCATGCACGTCCCTTTCATTGTCATGCATGAGATTGGAATATATGTTATTATACAGTCAGCAGTGATTAGTAATAATTGATTAATGTGTTAGTTATCCGGTCACTTGTTCAAAACTTTCATAATTATAAAAAATTTGGATGTTGTTAAAAAACAGCCGCCTCCCATCATATGTATTGAAAAGGATATATAATGCTAAATGCTCTTAATTTCTTTTCTTTATATGTTTATTTTAATAATAAAACAATTACACGAGATAAAATTCAAGAAAAAAATAATAGATATGCAAAATAGATGGTTTTAAATAAGTTGGATGGATGTTTAGATCAAAACGAGTAAAGTCATATATGGGGTCGAATGGACTCACCACCGGAAGCCTTTTTCTAAAAACCATACACTAAAAATACAAAAAAACACAACCATTTATCTACTAATATTCAGAAAAACCCTTACATTTTCGGTTACTTTTCATATTAACCCAAGTATCCGGTTTTTTAAATAACTTTTCGATTGCTTTGTCACATGACATTTATCTTTTTTGTTTGTAGGTTAACATGGAAATAAAAATAAATGACGCTGCCTCTTGTTTAAGGTAAAAACCTGAGAAATACATCATTTACTTAATGACCATTTACTTAAGCAAAAATAAGAAACATTGTTTATTTTTTCCATGTCAACCTAAAAACGAACAAGATAAATGTCGTATCACAAAACAACTAGTAACTTCTTTAAAAAAAAACAAATATATATGGGTAAATCTGAAAGGTAACCGAAAATGTAAGGGTTTTCTGCATATAAAAAAAATATAAGGGTTTTTCTAAATGCTGATAGATAAATGGTTGTGTTTTTCTGCATTTTTCCCTTGTCTAATCTATTATAAATCATATTACTTCAGACGAGATTTGAACCTTCAATCACTTGGGTTGAGAGACACTATACTAGCACGAGATACCACTAAGCGAAATTTAATTGTTGCTAGGAATATAGTTTTCAATTTTATCCAAATTTAAACTTACATATTTGTCCGAAATATCAAAATTGTAGCTTATCCATGAATTAGAATGTGTAGGGTGAGCGTGAAGATGAGATGGGTCCTTCATCATCCATAGGGGAACCTTAGTTTTATGTGGGGTTCCTAAAATCACTTGCCTTATCTTTCCAATATTTATTTGTAGCATTGTTTCCTTTTCAAGTTTCAATGTTTATCAAATATCTGATATTCGACATTGTTCCAACATAACGTATATGATATAATAACGTGCTTTTATGTCTATCTCATATTCCATATATTAAATTATCTGCTAAATGGGTTGCTCTAGATTGAATATGAGACAATAACGTCCCTTTTATGTCCATCTCATATCTCATGTATGTTACATTCATGTTTCCTTTTCTTAGAGATGCTAAAATAGACGGGTCTAATATGTAGGATAAAAAATCAAAACTAATATTTTTTTGTTTGACACGAAACATTAATCCATCCACGTAAGCTCCATTCATTATCCATAACTCTATTATTATTAAAATTATTAAAATTGTTAAAGTCCTAAAGAGAGTATAAGATCCTATACTCAATCATGCAAGTTACAACCACTAAACTCGAGAATCAAATTGCATTTAAGATCGTGGGTACGAAGTTGATTATTAAAACTCCTTTACGTATAAGAAGCTGATCATCAAGTCAATTAAATAGAATAAAAAATTTAACCAAGCGAAAACATATAAACTGGATCAGCATGTTGTCGAGTTGAAAAGCATCAAATCTTTTAAATATGTACAACTTCTTTAATGGTTTTATTCGAAAAATTAAATTATTATTATTGTTATTATTATTATAACAAATAATTGTTATAGACAGTATTTAAGGCATTTGGTTGTTTACAAAAGGATTAAGACCATTTAAGACAAACAAATTTATCATGACAGACTTCAATATACAATTTTTATTAGCTCAACATGTTACCAAGTTTTCTTTTTACAATTTTGGCCCTACACTTAACTTTTGTCACAAATTTGATCTAAACTTTTTTTTTTCAAATTTGACTTAACTTGTTTTTACAACTTTGTTTTCATAAAAATTGGTTTTTTTCACAAATTTACTAAACATTTTTCCCATTGTTCTTTACGGATCAATGTTTTTTTATAATGTCCTCTTACAAATTCGTTTTTATAAAACATGTTTTATAATTCATAAGAGGAAATTGCAAGAATTCCTAAGAGAACATTGTAAAAATGAAAAAAGAAATTGTAAGAGGACATTGTGAAAATGAATTTGAAAAAAAAAAACCACTAATTTGTAAGAGATTGGTAAAAAATTATCAAAAAATAAAACTAATTTTATAAAAACATACAAAGTACATCCCAAAGACCGAACCGAATTAGTAGTTTTGTGGTACCGGTACCAGCACCGGCCATGGTACTGGTTTTCGGTACTAGAACCGAACCAGAGGGGCAAATATGTCAATTTGACTGTGCAGGGGCAAATATGTCCACTTTCTTTTACTGTAATGATAACCACAGTCCATAATGGCAACAGACTTTCAATACCCACTCCAAAATAGCAATGTACATTGCTATTCTGGAGTAGGTATTAAAAGTACCAGGCCATGCATGTGGCAAAACATGCTTTGAGATTTATTTTCATAAATGTGAAATTACCTTACTACCCCTAACTTAAATCAGGCCGTGTAGCGGTGTAGGTGGCAAAACACATAAGAATCTGATCAATATATTTTTTATAAGGGCAGATAGTCAGATACACCCAATTGAAGAGGTATTGGTTTATCCAAAGAATTAGATATGCATGCAAAAGGCAAACTTGTAGTGAATACAAACTCTATAACTTAATCAAAAGTCAAAACACATGGAACTACATATTTTCATAATTAATCACAAGACCTTCTGAAAAATTCTCATACCAAAGTTGTTCGTATACAATATACCGATCTTCTGACACTAAAAGCTTACACGATCAAAAACGGTGTCTCCACATAAGCAGAGATTGATGATCGCTCCTCTACATCCACCTCATCAAACATGTGTACTCACTAATTAACATCATTTGCCTAAATCAATATTTTCAGTAACGCTTGCTTCTTCTAGAATCATCTGTGAGGAAATACCGGTTGAAAATCCTAGCTTTTGCATGATCTCTTCTAGACGTTCAACTTTTGTAAGGTATAGATAACCAATCTACAAAAGCAGGTGTATAATAATTAGAGACAGATTAAGACTTAATGGTATAATTAAATTAAACAGTGAGTGAAATCTCATGTATATAGGAAGTTAAGAAGAGAAGTGACCAGTGTTTCTAAAGATGATGCTCTGTTGTAAACAGCTACACCAGCACGTTTTTTAGTCCGTGTTTTGGATGAAGAAATATTTTTTCCCCACCGAAGAACATCCCTGTCAGATACAAATAAAAAAATCTTTTCAATTACATGTGAATAATGATAATCTTATATCAACGAATTTCATTTTGGTATCGACAAACCATGCAAATGATGTATGATATTATTTCTTAAGAGTTAAAAGAATTCGGGGATTACTCAAATTTCTATTATCTTGGTAACTGTGCACGAGGCAAGGAAGAAGGGTCAACTTCCGGTAGTAATCTCTATTCAAATGTCGGTTAGGTTCATGATATATCATATAGGTACTAAAGGAAGGATTGTAGATGATGAGTATGTGATTTTGGGAGTTGCCAATATCAATCAAAGATCCATGGCTGGTTCAAGAGATGAAGAAATAGCTATAGGGGTTTATCAGATGCTATGAAGTGAAACTTGGTTCCGAGAATGCAGGAGGAAAGAAGCCGATGTCTCAGATGCTATGGAGTGAAGATGATGAAATTATGATCTTAAAATTAAAACGGAGCAAAATGGGGAAGTTGCATCCCCTTGTCTAATTCCCATGAGAAGAAAATGTACGAGTTATCACAGAAGTTATGGGGTAGAAATAGTAACAAAAGTTCAGCTACTATTTGTTTAAGCGCCAAGAAAGTCAACCCTATGTTGAAAGAGAACCCTAATTTTGGGAAAACCAAGGTGAATGGGGTACATGTGGAAAAAGTGGAATATCATTTTGTAGCCGTGGTTTAAAAAATCGGGTGAGGAGTAAGCCTCGAGGCGAGGCGGTGGAAAAACGTACTTGAGGCAGGCGCCTCTCAGCTAAACGAGGCGGGGTGAGGCATCCCGAGACATGCTTGTTATAAAACAATGAAAAAGAAGAGAAATGTAAAACTTTTGTCGAATTTTTTTACCTTTTTACCTACATAAAATAAAAAAGTAATTTTTTGACCTAAATAACCTAATTGACTATCGTACATGATTCACTTATATTGACGTAACTTTGTTCAATATTTGCTTTGTTAATATATTTTTAAAATTTGTTTTCTAGTTAATTATAACTTTTTATGTATCTTTATTATATTTTTATTAGTTATATAATATTCAAATTTTATTTTTTATACCGCCGATAGCGTACTTTTAAACCTTTAGCTATTACATGTGAGTCGAAATGGTTGCACAATCTACTCCAAACTCCAAGAGATTCTTGTACCACTCTTTGGTCATCGACATTACACACTGCTCATGAGCACACAAAACATATAGAGGTAGACTGTCACTTTGTTCGTAACAAGATTCGTTGTCAGTGGTTCACTCTTCTATCCTTTGTTCCAAGAACTCACCCGCTATCTGATATATCCTTATGAAGGCACTTGATAAGCATCCATTACTTGTCAAGTTGGGCATTTCGAAGCTCCATGCACCAACTAGTGGTGTGGTAGTGGCATAATCATTGCGTGCGTATAATTAGTATACCTCAGATATGGATAAAATATGCAAATAAAAGGAGAGTCAACAGGTCAAGGCTTGGGTTAAGGGGTCTTTAGGTCTTTTCCCTTGTTTATGTTAGTTATTAGGTTAGCATAAATAAGAGGTATTGGATGTTAGTTAGGTATCGATTGTTTTATTGTTAGAACTATGTTCTTTTTAGGAGAGAACTAGCCTCTCGAAAGCTAGGGTTCCTTTGTAATCATTCCTTTTCTAATTCAATCATTCCATTACAAGCAATTCCATTCCATTCTATCCTCGATTCCATTCTATGCTAAATCACACCTACAATAGTATCTTCTTGTGTATCTTTTCTCTTAGTTGTCTATGGTAGGAAAGTCTTGTATGTATGTAACTACCCTACTTTATATGCCGTTTAAATAAAAACTACCTACTTTATAGAAGTAACGTAAGACTGAATATCAGTACAAGCTATATTTAAACTAAAAAGTATTACCCGAAACTTTACAGCAAATACAACTCTTGATTTCCATTACTGATATAGCTTTTGTTACATGGGAAAGAACTAGATGGGATGGGACAGGATCCAAATGGAGAAGCTTTCTAGGGATGTTTTCAATGACGAGAATGAGGAGGGCATTCACGTCTTTTGCACAAACTAGAGACCAAGAGCAAGCCCCTGTCCTAATTGTTGCACATTTTTAGGTGGACAAAAAAATGCAAGTTTTGCTTTTGCCCGAAGAGTCCCAGTCTAGTCCATATCAAGGCCTAATCCAGAAAATTTTCTATCTGTATGTGTAGCAAGGAAATGCCCTCTATCCAAAAGTTTTGTTTGATGATTTGCTCTAAAATAAATGACCTCTATCCAAAAGTTTTGTTTGATGATTTGCTCTAAAATAAATGCCCTCTATCCAAAAGTTTTGTTTGATGATTTGCTCTATTCTCTATATGCGAAACTTTGAACCTCACCAAAGTGACTCAACACAGTGCATAATCAACAAAGCATGGTAAGACTGACCTCTCTTCTTCTGATAGAACTTTGTCTTTCATTAGTTTGTGGAGCATTGCATCCTGATATGCATCAAACATAAAATTTTGATAATTTGTGTAAAATATAGGGTTCAATCTGCAAATATATAGTATAAAACTACAGGACGAATGTTTTTTTATCATACTTGGGCTTCGCAGCGCACAACAGCCATAACACGATCATTATATTCTTCAATACTCATCGGTGGAAATAAAAAATGCCTGCGGGCATATAGCTGTATAAAAACACAAAAAAAAGGTAAGGGTTTTACCGTTTTATGGAGTTAGTTTGTGGAAAATAGTAAGCTATATATGTGTGTTTCTTGTTTACTTTATGGCCTTAAGACTATCTGTAAGCTATATATGGGTGTTTCCATTTGATTTAATGCAGAAAGATCGAATTCAGGGGAAGGGTTTCCTTCAATATAAGTTTATCACTTTCAAAGCACACCTCCAAGAACCCCAAACTCGTGTAAGATAGATGCTAATGGACACATAAAATCATCATTTGCAATTTATGCACGAGCTTGCAACATGATTTAATACAAACCTCGTATATGCAATCTCCAATGTATGCTAGCGAGGCAGCATTGTACGTCGAGCGAGGTTTTTCCACTTTTGGGGCACTCGGCATCCATGTGTCGTAGCCCAGATACGTTTCTTCCAAGCGCGCTGTTGAAATTCACAATTTAAATCAAAACAAATGCCTGCAACGGGTAAAATTAAGACTCTCCCTCACTCGCAAGATAAAAAAATGTTCATTAGTTTGTAACAGAGAGGGATAAACTCTGCTGAATATAAGCACACCAAGTGTTCGACAAAATTCCGCACTGAAAAGCATATAACAAAATGATACCTTGACTTGGGCTTGGAGATTTGCGACTAAGAAGGGCTGAAACAGATATCAAATTACGATCTGTCGAGTTAGATTTTAGGTTTTGTTCTGTGCTTAAATTGGCAGGGGTAAGACTGTTAGGATTTTTGGGGTAAGTACGGTGGGGATTGTAAGGAAGTCTATCATGTGTATCCCATGAAGCTTTAACCTTCATTGGAAACGCATGGAGAGCAGTAGCAGCAGCCATGGAATTGGCTCCGAGTCTATTGGGGATGGTGGTTTTGCGTTTTTGCCTCCCCGTGTTTAAACCTTACTGATAAGGTCCATGATGTATTTAAATCTTTTAGCAATAAAACATTTTAATAAGGATAAAATTTACAAAAAAGTGACTTAGTTGAAAATAGGAATGAGCATATGGACCGGGGAACTGGCCGGAACCGGAACCCGATGGAACCGGTCGGGCCGGGACCGGTACTATAATTTCGTCAATTTTTGGAAACGGGGCCCGGTAAGAACCGGTCGTTGAAACCGGCCCAAAACCGGGAACCGGACCGGATAACTCACTCAAATTTTGAAAGTTGCATAACTCACTCAATTTAACTTTTTTTGGCCTGAATCTTTTTCCTACATGTAGATTACGACTTGTACTTAAGTTTAGACTATAAAAACGTTTGATTTTTTTAAAAATTGAATGAGTTACAAGCCCCGCAAATAAGGATGTCAAATCAGAATTTTTTTATGTTTCAGCAATTAAATGTAATCTGACTTTGTTATTCAAATGTACATAACTCACTCAATTTAACTTTTTTTGACCTGAATTTTTTTCCTACATGTAGATTATGATTTGTAGTTAAGTTTAGACTATAAAAACGCTTGATTTGGTTAAAATTTGAATGAGTTACAAGCCCCGCAAATAAGGGTGTCAAATCATAATTGTTTTTATGTTTCAGCAATTAAATGTAATATGACTTTGTTGTTAAAATGTGCATAACTCACTCAATTTAACTTGTTTTGACCTGAATCTTTTTCCTACATGTAGATTAGGATTTGTAGTTAAGTTTAGACTATAAAAAACATTTGATTTGGTTAGAAATTGAATGAGTTACAAGCCCCGCAAGGAAGGGTGTCAAATCAGAATTTTTTTTATGTTACAGCAATTAAACGTAATCTGACTTTATTGTTCAAATGTGCATAACTCGCTCAATTTAAGTTTTTTTTACCTGAATCTTTTTCCTACACGTAGTTTAGGTTTTTTCGTTAAGTTTAGACTATAAAAACGCTTGATTTTGTTAAAAATTGAATGAGTTACAAGCCCTGCAAGGAAGCGTGTCAAATCATACCGGTTCCAAAACCGAAAACCGGCAAAAACCGGACCAGGAACCGGAACCGGTAGAACCGTCGGGCCGGTTCGGTTCTTGATTTTGGCCGAAGCCGGTTCCCGGTTCGGGTCCGGGTCGGGCCGGTTCGGTCCGTTTGCTCATGCCTAGTTGAAAAAGTTGATGAGGTCGAAAATGACGCTTATATATAAACTTAATATTGCAGTCATGTCTAATTTAGATAAAAAAACATCACCACAATTAGGTTAATCAAATATGGTTTTAAGAACATGTGCCCGTGAGATGATTACACCGGTTACTAATGAGGAAATGTCGAAATGTTTTAGATTTTGGATGACAAAGCGTCCAGATTTGATGGATTTTCAACATAAGGAAGCACATGATCTTAAATCTTAAACTCCCTAATAAGTAAAACATCCACATTTATGGATTTACATATAAAATGTAACCGAAGATAAGATAAAACTTACCATTTCCAAAACATAGTTTTATATCCTTCAACTTCAAACCACAACACACTATTGTTATGATCACGAGGTATCGTTGAAATGAGCATTGTATGGATGAACTATGTGCCGGAAATTGAGCAATGGCCCGGGACCCCCAATGCTTCACTAAGGTCCGCCACTGACTAGCAGGGTCTTCATTCCAAAACATGAATTCATAAATAGTGTTATACAAGCTGGAGAATGAGACATCTCCCTTAATTTGTCGATAGAGTGCATTGTCTTTGATGGTCAATACGAGCAGGTAATAATCTTGATTCCAATGATATTTAAGAGAATATAACTAGATACGAAAAACACACGAAAATACAGTTACACACTCGTGGATATACAGTTAAATACATGCAGTTATTATCAAATACTCGTGATAATAAACATCCTAACGAGAGTGTTTGTCATTCACCTTGATGAGTGTTATATTAATAGCACTTCAAATTTAGTCAAGGAAAATGGTAATGCTTGCTTATAAAACCACAAACACAAGATGAAATAACCTAAAAGGTTAAACATACTTGCCAAAATATTCTTGAAACAGTTATAATTGTTAAATGTACTAAAAACAAATAATTGTTGATTACTTCCTTGCAACTTGAGCATAATAAACACCCTATCGAGAGTGCGCACCATTTACGACCATGTTGTTTTACGCTCGCGAGCTTGTACATTATTTCTCTTGATGAGTGTTCTATTAACGGTACTCCAATTCCGGTAAGGGGAATGGTATGCATGCTTATAAAACTACAATAACAAGACGAAATAACCTAAAAGTTAAACATATTCGCTGCTAGGAAGGGATCCAATCACGATCTTATAATAAGAACAGGGTGTATTTCTTGATCAATCCCCTTGTCCTTCATTATTTAAGAATCAGAAATATCATTTTCAAGTTTGAATTTTTTTCATTTGGAATATGAGTTCTTCCATTTCTATTTTATTTACTTATTTATTGATTTTTATTTAATATCAATTTATTTGGGGAGGGTAATGAATTTGGGAGATGGACACGCATAGAGAGTGTAGAAGTCGCAGATGGCTCACCTTTAGGGCTACATTCCTTTACACAATGGTCCATGAAGCTATTAATGATGTAAAGTACATAGAAAATGAAGAGGGTATAATCGTCATTTTACACATACTTAATGGGTATCATGTTAACAACCTTATGGACCATGCATACTATTTTTGGAAACCACAAGACGAGCCATATCAAAAATTAATAAAGTCAGACTAAAACTATAAACGAATGTAAACCACAAGGACCAAAACAATAATTTACTGTGTATAAATGAAAGATTGTATTAATATGTGATTTGGTTAACGAAACTATTTTAACAGATTTAACTATTGATTGGGTTGTCGTGGTCGATGAATGTGGATAGTGTTGGGCCCAAAGTTTGATACCAATATGCGTAGCAGGCCTTGCCCAGTTACCGATTTCACGTCTTTCAGTCCAGTTTCATTACGGCGTCCTTCCTTTGGCATCTGGTTTGAAGAGAGGGCAACTGGCGACAGTGACGAGACGAAGCCACTGAAGAAAAGCACACAAAATGAGTAACGAAACTCCCAAGCTCTACGTTCACAAGCCTAAGAAAGGTATCACTATCATCAATGTTCAAAATTTCCAAACAAATTTCGGTGAATGTTATCTTTGATTTTCGTTAGTATAATCAGTACTGTAAAAATTTCTAAGAAATAGTTGTAAAATTCGATTTGTATTTTTGCACTTCAGTAGTCGATTGGTTTGTGATGATTTATCATACTATGTGAAACAGCTCAACGTAAGAAACATCTACAACAGCAATCACATCCTTCTCCGCTGTCGTCACCGTCACCGTCACCATCGCCGGTGACATCCTCGTCGGCACCGGCAATGGCTAGTCAATCTACTACTGCGACATCCTCTTCACGTGTTCCGCCGCCGCCACCAAAGGAGTCATTTGCACGCCGTTACAAGTTCCTTTGGCCTCTTCTCCTCGCCGTCAATTTTTCCATCGGAGGTATCTATATAGATATATATCGCTTACGTAACAATTTTAGGTTGCTAGGATCATTGATAAATGCTGTTTTATAACTGTGTTCTGCTTAAATGAAAAGAAGACAAACCTAGGTTTTATCGATTTGAATCTGTGTCACCATAACTCTCTGACAACGAATTAGGTTGATTGGTGCCTTCTGAAATGTGTTTTGTTTGGCTAGATCTGATCTCTGTAGCTTTAAGCATTAGTTAAGAAGGCAGTTATAGCCATTATTATTTGAAGTAGTAGTCACAGTGCTTTCAATCATGGTGTCATTGTGAAAAATTGCAGGTTGTATCTAGTATCAACTTTCAGCATCTCTGAGCGTGTATGCCTAAAACTGCAGTCTTTTAGGATTTGAATGAGATTTGGATTTAGTTTATTTGCTAAAGACCAACGAAATAAGTGCTTTCCCAATTGGATTCGGTGAACATTTAAACGTACAAACATGTTCAACAATCAAAAAATCAACTTTCTTTTTCTGTAAGAAATACATACACCTTTATAAGATAATACTAGATTAGATACCCGTGTATTACACGGGTTGATTAAAAGAAATATTAAATAGGAAGGAGTAAACATTAAGGATTTTCAGATTTTGAAAACCATATTTTCCATTAGGATCCAACTGAAATATTGTTCAAAATAACAAAAAGAAAGTCATAAACATAATTTCCAAAGACACTTTTGGAAAAGATAAACATTTATTTTAAACTTAGAAGATCAATCTGGATATTTAAAAATCATCACATCAACATGGATATTTTGAAATTTGTATAGCTGTTAAAGATAATTTTGGAAAAGATATTTAGAAATGAGAAGGTGTTTCAGCTTCCCTAAATTGGAGGCATTTGGGGATGAGTAGGAAAATCAGATAGTTGGGAACACAGGAAGGTGACAAGTGTACCTAAAGTTACTTATTTATTATATTATAACAAACAAAAAAATAGATGTATGTTTCAATTTCCTTCATTTAGCCCAAATTTAAAAGGGTTAACTACAAAAAATATCATTCTACATTCACAAAATAAAAGGGTTAAATGCAAGAAATAACATTCTATTTCAAAAGTAATTTGGTTGACATTCAATAGCAATGTATATATAAGTTCTTTTTCACTTAAAATAAACTTCAATAGCGATGTAGTTATGGTTTTTTAATTTTTTTTTTAACTTTAAATTTAAAAGGGTTAAATGCAAGAAACATCATTGAATATCAGTATTCAATATCAGTTCCTTATGTTATTGTACATCACTCATAATTATCAACATCTCTCATCATTTAATTATATCTACCATAAAAAGAAGCTAATATATTGAAATCAAACACTATTACCTGTAATATTATTCATCATTTTTCAATTCAGTTCTCTGTTTTATCTTAATTTTTTGTAGCTTACCTTTTCATGAGAACAAAGAAGAAGGAGATCATAGAGGAAGAGGTGACAGCTGTCGCTTCTACTCCCACATCTTTGGTTTCAACTGCTTCAGTTAGTGATCCATTGCCAGCTGTCATGGAACTAGTGAAACCACGTGAACCCATACCATTAAATCAGCAGCTTGAGCTTTTCAAATGGATTTTGGAGGAGAAAAGGAAAGTGAAAACAAAAGATCCGGAGGAGAAAAAGAGAATCGATGAAGAAAAAGCCATTCTTAAACAATTCATCCGAGCAAAATCCGTCCCATCTCTGTAACCGCAGGTTTGTTCTTGTTTCTAACAAGCTGTACATTTAGTTTTATTTTTTGGATCATATTTGCTCCTACTGAATATCGGTTAGTGTTTGCTATATTATTTCAATAAAATATCTTTTTTAATACAAGGGTTTAGATAAGTGAGGCAAAATTTCTACCACTAATATGTATGTATCATTATCAACGGTTGTAATGACCTCTTTCGTATGAGATAAAAGTGTTAAAAGGGGCCTAGGAGTTCATGATTTTACCCATAAACATGTGAATCAGTGTATTTGATTTGGAAATAGGCCATTTGTGTATGCTTATACATGTAAGGGAGGAGGGAGTCATTCCCTCCCAACCCACTGAAACCACTGCCACTCACTTTTTCTCTTGTATTTTTTATTCATCTTTCCCAACCCACAACACACGGAAACCCTATCTTTTTGAACTCACTCAACCCATTTAATTGAAAAAGAAATACAAAACAATCAAGCTAAAATCTTAATTAGCAATAGAGTTACCGCCGGTACCACTTCCGCTTCAGTGGATTGTTTAATTGATTTCACTAACCTACTTCATCATCTCTCTCTACTTTCTTTCTCTCATTTTCTCTTGTACCATGTGTTTTAAAACTTGTACCTTAGTTGTTTTGTATTTTTTTTTTAATTGAGTGGGTTGAGAAAGATACAATTTTCATGTGTTGTGGGTTGGGAAAGATGAAAAAAAAATAAAAGAGAAAAAGTGATGTGGCAGTGGGTTGGGAGGGAATGACTCCCTCCTCCCTAACAGGGGCATATCAGTCACACGAATGGATGTTGCTGAGGATCAATTCAGTTGACATAACAACTGTTGACATAACAGCTGCATGCCAATGAATTGTGTACATACAGTACCGCATATTGTAAAATACTATGATTTATTGAAAGTCTGCAATTTTTCATCGAATGGCCCTAGTGCCATCTTTAATATTAATTTTAACTTTTAAGATGTTATAATGATTTGGTCTAGAGATGGGGATTACGATTGATTTGTTTTTCAAATGAGTTGGTCTCATCACTCATGGTGTATTTCATATGGGCCAAATCAAAAAGATTTAGCTCAAAGTATCCATTGCGGTGCGAATTAGAGATGCACATACTAGTCTTGGACCGGTCTTGAAAAGGTCCGGTCTTTTTTCTAGATTGGTCCCGGACAGTCGTCTGCGCTTTTTCGGTCCGATTTGATATATTTTTTTTGTTTTTGTTTATAGTTTTTCTGTTAACACAAAATAATACTTTAAGATTAACACAAAATGATACTTTAAGATTTACCAAAAATGATACATTGAAGTTTAATAAAGGAAAGAAGGGAAAAAGTTGGGTAATGTGATTATAAATCGTGTAATTAACACAAAAATGATATGTATATAAACTTTTGCTTCTGGACTTTTTTGAAATTGGTTGCGGGTCGGTTACTGCTCTCGGAACGGTACAGTTTTTTTCGAACCGGTCTTAGCCTGGTTTGTTTTGTCTGTCTTTTTAGGACCGGTCTCGTTTAAACCGGTTCGGTCTAAGTCTTTTATCGAGACCGATCCTAGATCAATCTTTCTTTCGTTCATGTCTAGTACGAATCCTATATTTAAAACTAGGTGTAAGGTCCATGTATTACATGGTTTATTTAAAAGAAAAATTAACTATGAAATTCTTAATATTTTAAGAAATTTGAATTTATAAGAAAAATTAGAAAAATAATGAATTATTAAAATTAAAGTGTTTTTTACTTTTTTAAATTTAAACTAATAATTTAGATAAATAAACATAGGAAACTAATAAGAATTTAATTTAGAAAATTTGAAATTAGAAGAAATATCAATTAATGATATTGATATGCATTTATTATTACATTTATTGTAATTATTACATTTAAATACTATTATGTGAAATTTAATAAAATGGAAAAAACCATAAAATGCCATGTGAAAAAAATTTAATTGAAAAAAACCTCAAAATGACATGTGGCCAAATCAATAAGAGTGTGACATGTGGCAAAAACATTTTCATTTATTAGAGTAGAGACTAGGTATAAAACTCATGTATTACATGAGTTCATTTAAAAGAAAAATTAACTATGAAATTCTTAATATTTTAAGAAATTTGAATTTATAAGAAAAAGTAGAAAAACAATGAATTATTAAAATTAAGATGTTTTTTTCTTTTTTAAGTTTAAACTAATAATTTAGATAAATAAACATAGGAAACTAATAAGAATATAATTTAAAAATTTTGAAATTAGAAAAATATCAATTAATGATATTGATATGCATTTATTATTACATTTATTGTAATTATTACATTTAAATATTATATGAAATTTAATAAAATGAAAAAAAACACAAAATGCCAAAAAGTTTAATTGAAAAAAATCTTAAAATGACCAAATGAATAATCATTTACTGGAGTATGAGAGAATGATTTAAATTTGAATGAGCATCATTTAAAAGTTTTTCTATGCAGCTAGAGTGGGCTGGTCCAATGAAATTATTGTTTGTTAATTTGTTATACAGGTACGCAAGAATGGGCTGTGAGCCCATTATTTAACGCGTCAAAACGTTGACGTGGTCTTGTATATATTTATTTTTTAAGGAAATATTATATATTATATTAATGTATAAGTAACCGAAAAGCTTTAATTATTAAAAAGGTTATAACAATATGGTTATGGTTTTTAAAGTTTATAATTAATATTTGGGTTAAGATCGAAATTAGGAACTAAACCAGTGAATTTGTACTTATTTAGTAACTAAATTTTGTTTAAGCTGTTAAATATTATTGGACTTTTTTTATTTATTTTTATTTTTTTTATTTAAAGTAATCATTATGACTGGTGATATGACATATCTTAATAAAAAAAAACAAGCTCAATAAAGTTTTACGATTTAAACCAAGTTTAGTGATTAAATGAATACAATTCAAAAGTATAATTATAATTAAAATAATACATATTATCTTTATATTATTTTACTTTTTATTTAAAAATGATTCACAAATCATATAAAAAGCACAACTTTTTGATAATATAGTAGGAATTAATTTATTGAACATCAAAAAATAGATCTACATCAATATAAAAAAGTGGCTTGCTTTTTTCCCACCAAATTGGCATCAAAGTTTGATTTCTACATATCACTATGTATTCATGATTTATCAATATACATGCCTTATAAAATCTATACAGAACTACAACGCCACTTGGGTTGTATGACTTGGTAATGCATGTGAAATATATGATGGATAATCTATTGACCCATGTTCAAATCTTGACACTATTTAGCCTATGTGGTCATGGAGGTTTGTTTGCAGTGACTCCAGAGAATGAGGTGTAGCCCAATGTTTGTAGCGGGGGATTAGTCGGTGCTCAAAAACTGACATGAAATCTTTGTTAAGAAAGCTCTCTTTCCAAAAAAAAATTATACAAAATAAAATGTTAATATATATTGTTTAATTAGATAGATCAATGTTATATGTGCATGTTAAAAGAATGTGATCCTTGACGAATTGAGATATGATCTGCAATGTATGAAAAAAAAAATCTAAAATATGACAAAAAGCGAATAAAAAAGGGGATTAATTTCGCAATCAGACATTAAACTATTTTTTTTTTTTGCTCATTTAGAGAGGGAGGGAGGGAGAGCTTAGGTTAATGGGTGTGGTACGAGAATTAAGGTGGCCGCCTCATCACCATATTCACACCACTGTTAATGAGTTTTGTCACAAGAGAAGAAAGGTGTGAAAAAGAAAGTGCAAAGAACAAAGAACAAAAAAGAGATGATTACGTGGCACAATGCTACCTCAACATCACGCCTAAGGGGGTGCTCATGTTGTAACCAACGTCCACCTCAACATCACCCTTGACGTTCATGTCCATTAGCCTTAAAAAGTTTGCTATAAAAGCTTAAAACGGGTAAAGTACCTAATAAAGAATAAAAAAGTAGTACATGTGTCAACCAATGATTATAGAAAACATCAATACTTTATATTTAGACCTATATCTCGCATTGTTTTGAATGTGGTCCAATTTGAGAACCAAAAATGCCAAACAGTTTATTATAACTAATTCAAGTCATTCAACTATATGGGTACTTATCAATCGTTGATTTCGATATATATATATATATATATATATATATATATATATATATATATATATATATATATATATATATATATATATATAAAATAAAAAAAAAGAATTAAACACGCTTATTCATATGTAGAATTAAACACGCTTATTCATATGTATGTTCCAAGATAAAGTAAATCAAACACACACCAATGGAATAACTTTTTAATGCCAACATGTTGTTGTCCTTGATTTATCTGAAGTTGTAGTTCGAATTTTGGGCTTCAGTTTCGAGTTTCTTCCATTTTCTTGAGTGGTTGAAGGGAGATGGATTATGTTTCTAAGTGTTAAGCCTTTACATGTTTGGTAAAATGAGAAAAGAATGGAGCATAAATAATGAAAGTCAAGGAGTAGGAGATTCAAGATTGAATTAGATCTTGATTTTACAATTCCTACTACGATCTTATAGTCATGTATTCGATCTTGTAGGGTGTAATGTGGGATGGGGGTATCTTATAGTCATGTATTCGATCTTGTAGGGTGTAATGTGGGATGGGGGTAGGGATAGCGTGAGTGGAATGGGGGTAGGGGTAGGGGAGATATGCATATAGATAGGGGTGGGTGGAGGGTGAGGGTGGGTGAATGTTTGGGCGCGGTGGTGGAGATGGGAATGAGAGATGGTGCAGGTTAAGGGGTGGTGTGGATTGGTTGTCCCGAAGTGTGGTTGGGTGAAGGAGTGGGGGTGAAGATGAGTACGTGTGTGTTTTAGAAAAAAATTGTAGTTGGAAAATTGTGGAAAACAATAGAAAAATCTCTGATAAAGTCTCAATATTTTGGATTAGTTTATGGTTTAATCCCAAATTTTATTTTTTGAACAAAAAATCTCGATTATTTTATATTTTGCCAAAATTAACGAAAAAGATCTTATTTTTTTCAATGGAAAATGACAGATTATCGTATAAAATTAGATTATCGGGATTTTTTCTGTTCAAAAACAATAAATGTTGGGATTAATCTGTAAATTGACCCGAAGTATTAGGACTTTATCGGAGATTTCCCAAAATAGTATTTATTGGGTTTTCAAAAATTTCCAAGTTTTTTTGT